ACCCTGCTTACGTACGACTGCATCCTACCCTGCTTACGTACGACTGCATCTTACCCTGCTTACGTACGACGTACTGCATCTTACCCTGCTTACGTACGACTGCATCTCACCCTGCTTACGTACGACTGCAGATTACCCTGCTTACGTACGACTGCATCCTACACTGCTTACGTACGACTGCATCTTACCCTGCTTACGTACGGCTGCATCTTACCCTGCTTACGTACGACTGCATCTTACCCTGCTTACGTACGACTGCATCTTACCCTGCTTACGTACGACTGCATCTTACCCTGCTTACGTACGACTGCATCTTACCCTGCTTACGTACGACTGCATCTTACCCTGCTTATGTACGACTGCATCTTTCTCGGCAGCTTCTCCCGCAGGTCCGTGCTCGAGTACTCGACCTTCAGCCCTGTCACGAAGATGGCGCTGTCGACGGGGTAGCTGTGGGGCGCCGTCCAATCGGCGGAGAGGTACGCCTCGCGCACCGTGTGCAGCTGTCCGCGCACGGTCACGTTGCCTATCTTGGCCACCTTCGCAGCTGCAACATGAATCGCGCGTGGATCGCCCGCTCGCTATCGCAGCACGAGAAAGTCGCTCCTGGTTAGGATGCTCGCACGTACTTTTGCAGCGGACGACGGACTTTGGCACCGAATTTTTGTTCATTTAATCATCTTCGTAGGTAGGACTATTAGAATTGCAATACGACTCCAATGGGAAAAATACAACACTCGGCCATCACGCCTTACAAACGATCGAAACGAGAAAAGTACGAAAATTCCCACTTCACTTCCAGGGTGCGAAATTAACGGGAGTCCGGAGTCAAATACTCCCTGATTTACTGTCGGACTCCCTGATTTGACATATGCAGGAGTCCGTGTGACTCCCTGAAAATTCTACCATACTAACTAGTTCGTTCCGGAGCACGGCCTCAAGGAATTAACGTATTTTTCAGCTAATGTCCAAAGAAAATGTGGCAGATGTGCAACTGCATGAATCTTAAAAATAAACACATGCGTTATTGTTAATATCTTTAATTTTGAACTTCAGACTGCGGACTCCCTCATTTTGCCGCGGACTCCCTCTTTTTGAGGGTAGGGAGTCCGTTGGACTCCCGTGTTCAAAGGTTAATTTCTACCACTGACTTCCCTTGCATATAACCGCGTAGGCTAACAGTCTTTCGCCCCCACACCTCCGATCGGTACACACGATCGGCAGTAGATGGCGCCACCCGCCCATCACCCACCTTCTTGGTGCGACGCGAGCGACAGCACGGTGACGTTCTTCGTCGGCGTCTGCAGCACGAACATCTTCCAGGCGGTCGCCAAGGTCGCGACCTCGTCACGAAGGTCAACGAGCGCGAGTTCAGGGTCGATGTGCGGACTCACGATGACCATGTGACTCTCGATGCAGTTCGCGTAGGTGCACCCCACCGTGCTGACGGAACAGGATAGAGAACGGTCCGCGGCGATTAAAAACGCGCGCACCGAGCGAGTTTGTTTCGATTCAACGCAGATTTAATTGTCACTATTACAAATGCAGTGGATATCGACAAGTATTCGAATACATTATGACACGAGAACCTACTAGTTCTAACAACATCGCTTACGCGTTGGCTGCGTGTAGATGCGTCTGGTTGAGTACGACTTCGAACTCTGATCTTGCCTTCTTCAAAGCATCGATCATCTGCGGGTCAGAACCATTCACCCACGTGTAGACGACATCTATTGGGACCGGCTGGCATAATCTTCGATGAACGAACGAATGATGTTAGTAGTGCACAGTTTGGGATGCACAACACAGGCAGTCTCCACACGGCACATACAGCAAGTTATATATTGGCTGGGTTTATTGTTGATTATATCGTGAACCTATATGTACGCGTTCATGATTACAAGTATGGGAATGCTTCTTCTTCTACCACTTATACTATCAATTAATTTCTGGTTGCTTTAATCATAGAGAAGATTCTGTCAATGGGGTGTGGGAGCGCAAAAGCACAAGACCGTAACTTTTCCAGACCAAGCTTGCGTGTATGCACTGACCTATTCTGGAGGGACCGGCCCACCAGATTATCGCTGAAAGAATGAAATACGGCATCGTACTGATCCTTGCTCCATTCTAATGCGGCCTGAAAAACAAAACGGTGTTTCGACTCACAAACGCGATTGCACATGTCAGCATTTTTATCATTCTGCCATCAGTCGTGTATGGAAGTATATGTCAGAAAACCACAATTCAATTACCAGAAACTGCACATACATGTGTATTTGGTACAGATCGAGTCACTGAGAGTGAGAGTGCCTAGGTGGTCTATATAATTACAGTCCAACCTCCTTTATCTAGCCATCCGTTATCCGGAAATGTCTATTAACCGGCCGCGATCTCGCAGTGTATGTTCTCCGTTTTTCATTCATTTCCACCTAAAAATCTCACTCAAAACTTGCTCAAAACTCGCGCGATGTACCAACCGTACGTGTGTTTGCGTGTTTGCGTGTGAGCGCGTGCACGTGTGTGTGTGTGCGTGTGTTGTCCGCTCGTGTCCGCTATGCCTCAGGTAAAATTTCTGTTTTATTTCATTTTATTTCATTTCATATAAACCATAAAACACGACAGTTTTTTGCAAATAATCATAGCAACGAGTAAATACATTATCACATGCATAAACCCTACTGAACTGCATAGAATTAGAAATTCTGTTTGAGCATAACTCTCATATCCGGCCAAATCCCATATCCGGATGGGTGCCGGTCCCGACGTGGCCGGATACAGGAGGTCGGACTGTACATTGGTCTGTATAGTCAACTCGCCTCGCCGGCAAACTCGACCCGTGTGGGATCGAGTTTACCCGCCTGGAGTACGGTCAGCTCGGCTCCTGGGTCGAGATGACCATCCTGGAGATCAGACAGCTTGACTCACCGGCTAACTCATGTGAGATTGAAAATTGAAATTGATCATGTGTGACAAACTTATAGTTATATACTCTTCGCATAATAACAGGTTATTCCCACACAAAAAACCACACACGTTTTGACGTCAACATGTGTAAAACATCTTAAATGAGTTAGACCGCGAGTCGAGCTGACCGACCTCCAGGCGGATAAACTCGCCACAATGTGAGTCGAGTTGAGCAGTGCCCAATTATATATTGTACGCAGTGACTACGCTTCCGGAACCGGTCGCCTAGCCTCCAGGCTACGCATCCGGACATCCACCCACACAGTGATCGCGCGACTCGCGTACACGCATGATTGCACAACGGGACGCTCTGCTGATTGCCGAAAATATACAATATGTGCACTGCTGCCGTCTATCCTTTCATCCGTCCTCTCTCGCTCTCTCGCTCTCTCTTTCACACACGCACACACGCACAGCTCTCTCTCTCTCTCTCACGGAGTTCTCTCTCACACACACGCACGCACGCACGCACGCACGCACGCCACGCACGCACGCACACACACACACACCTCTAGCACTCTCCTCTCTCTCTCTCTCTCTTCTCTCTCTCTTCTCTCTCTCTCTCACGCATACACACACACATACACATCCTCATCTCCTCTCTCTCTCTCTCTTCTCTCTCTCTCTCTCTCTCTCTCTCTCTCTCTTCTCTCTCTCTCTCTCTCTCTCTCTCTCTCTCTCTCTCTCTCTCTCGCTCTCTCTCTCGACACACACACACACTCGGTAATCAGCAGAGCGTCCCGTTGCGCAATCATGCGTGTACGTGTCGCAAGATCACTGTGTGAGATGGATGTCCCATGTCCGGACGCGTAGCCTAGCGGCTCCTCGTCCGGAACCGCTCGCGTAGCCACGGCCTATATGGTATCATGTGCACTCTGATAAAAAAAGGCAAAAGCACGTAAAGAATCATGATTTATAGTTATACTGTGCCGTAGGAAGCAAGGAACTTACTGAGTGAACTCATACGTTAATGCTGCATGACATAGTATACGCAAGAGAATGCATTCAATTCGCGATTCAGATATCTAGAAAATCACAATCTCTCACCTCGCCAAACTGTAACGCCGATACGATAACGAGTACGACTCCGCCGAAGCAGAGTAATATTGCATATTTATGCGAGAGAATGTCGTAGAACTGTTTTTGAATAAGCTTTGAAACCGCGGATTTACTATGCGGTTTCATGTTTACACTGACAAGTCACAACAACACGAAGTTAGACGTTTAAAAGTCGTCGACTGTATGTAAACATGACTTAAAAATATTACACGACACCCATGACACGACGTAATGGCGCCACCGTCGTATTTCTGCCGGAGAAAGCTGACATTTTGGGGTCAAAATGACATGATAATGGGCGCCATAGTTGAGTACTGAGCGTCATTTCATATTAACTTAACGTTAGACATATGCAGACGTAGCGCACTTTTCTCAGGAAAAAAAAATCGCACTGACAATAACTACATTGTTTGTTTATCGTAGATAATAATCAACCAAGAAAAATGATTTTAAAATAGTTAAAATAGAAGTGCCCGCCAGGTCCCACGCGCATGACCGATCGCAGGTGGCACATTTTTGAATGTACACAAAGCCGAGTTGTCGTACATGTACATTTGAACTGTTTTGTTTACAAAATACACGTTTTACGTAATCTACGTTACATTACACGTTACGAAAATGAAGATATTTTATGCACTTGTCGCAGGCGCAGTGCTGTTCTCGTCGATTGGCACACTGTTGAATTTCCAGCGGTTTCTGTCTGGTCACATCGACGTGAGCAAGCAAGCACACCAGGCTTTGGCTAGTGAGTCTGTTTGAAGTGAACGCACATACATGATACATACGTCGTACGATACGCGATGAACAGCAATCCCCAATACATGCGTGGTTTGCGGGCATCGTCGCGCATATCTACTCAGCTTTAATTGTCAGTCCTAACATTTAACAATGTCTATAATAAACCTAAGAAAGACCCACGAGTAGTCACTTCAAATGTTAGTTGGATTCCACATCTAAGACTTTGGACCTATTATTGTATTGTATTAGCAATTCAATTGTTTTATATGATTATGTTAAAAAATCGAAAGAATATTAAATTTCTACATCTCGCACAGTGTTTTGTTACAGTTGGAACACGAGTAGTCGAGTATAGTCATTTGCCGCGTAACTTGCAGGGAAGGAGACGAACTACTTTGTGACGAAGACGGTGTTCTGGGATCTCGGGCTGCTTATCATGTTCATCCTCCAGCACAGCCTGATGGCCAACCATCGGTGGAAGAACCTTGTAAACAACACGCTGGGACTGTCAGTCGTAGAAAGGTCTATCTACGTTGGCGCTTCCTGCCTCGCCCTACAGGTATGTGTGATTCCTGCATTGTTCACCGGTGGAAACTGGTACTATAGGCAGGAGCGATATGCCAAATACAGGCTAACGCTCCATTAGGAGTATTCCCAACTTTGATATCATTAATGATTAATGATTGATAATCCTAACCCTAACCTAAATGACATTAAACCACAAACTAATATATGACCATATATATATATATATATATATATATATATATGTTATTATGACCATTGATGACATTAAAGTTGGGAACAACACTCCTAATGGAGTATCACCCCAAATACATGGGGCAAATGCCTCCCTAGGCTATACTTTCTTTCAGCAAAATACAGCTAGAAATCTCATGAATTCTGACTATGTATTTCCTATTTCAGTGCACTAATCAATTGCCACTAAGATAAATTTTTGCAACATGCTGGAAAATATACGACCTGCCATCACAAAAAGGGAAATGTTTTGGTAACTTTGACCCCCCTCTCTCTCTGCTGTCGATTCGTTTACTGGGATTCTGTCACTGTAGTACTTTGGTGTCAACTGGCTTTCATAATCCATTCAACCAAGTGGCACATTGTGCATACATCCCACATACATGTACTTGTGATTGTAAAGATATACATATCTGTCTACATTACATCAGGAGTTAATAAAGACAGACTATATTAAGACGAGACGTTTTGTCCTTATTATAACTCCTGATTACATTTAGCAGTGAGCATATGATGTTCATATTTTGGAAACCTAAGTAAAGCTAATGATATTTGATATTATTATTATTATTATATTATGTTGTAATCATATTTTTATTCTTATTTATTTTTTTAAATGTAGTTTATTATTTTTCACGTCTGGCAGGCTCTGATGCATCAGTGGGTGCCGGTGTTTAGTGGAACGGCATGGCTGGTGGATGTCAGCAGCCGGCAGGGCAATCAGCTCTACTCCCTCCTGTTCTTCGCCGTGCACGTTGTTGCCTGGGTGCTCACACTCGGCTCCTTGCTCCTCATGGACATCCTTGAGCTGGGTGGTGTCAAACAGGTAAACCAAGGTCAAACTTTGTATCAAGGGCGAAGGTGGGCCGTTGCTAGCGAAGCGTTTTTTCGTTTAGGAGGCTTTCCCGTGCAGTCAAAACATCCTGGGAGGAGGGCCGTTAATGCCGGAATGTCAAGTAGAGTGTCGTTTGTGAATGATGGAAGAGTGTATGAGCTGTATGTATAGCGACAGCTGTCAAGCGTGCTAATGACTTAGAGAAGGCATGAGGTTGCATGCTTGCTACATGCACCAGTCAGTATAGGCGTGGAATTACTCGATTAATAATATAGAGGACGAGAGAGGGCGAGAGCGAGACATAGGAGGGGGAGTGAGGAAGAGAGGAAGAGAGATAAAGAGAGATAGATAGAGAGAGAGAGAGAGAGAGAGAGATACAGACAGACAGACAGAAACCGTTTTCACATCATATACCAATTTAAGTAATCAGTGTTGGAGCAGGCTTGTGCAGCCAGTTGGAAATAGCTTTGTAGACATTTTTGCCTGGTTTATACGGTGTATTAATCTTTCGTTTTCTATATTCGCCACCAGGTGCCACTGATGTTTTAAACCGTCCCTTTTCATTTCGTGTGGCAGGTGTACTTCTATTGTATTGGCCTCAATCCGCCTATCACGTACAAGCACCACAGCTTGGCACGCATATACGCGCACAACAGGCATCCGTGTGCACTGGGTAAGAACACGCACAATTTACAATCTCTGTTGATATTTCGCACATTGTGATTCAAGCTCTCATTTCTGTAAATTCGTCTGCGAAACACGATGCGGGGAAATCCTCGCATTGTCTCGAATACAAGCGAACGTGAGAAACGACGATGATTGAACTCCAAAAAAACACGCAACAAGTCCTTTCACAGGCTTCCTCCTGCATTTCTTGTGCGTTAAGCTCTGCGTTTAAGTATCTTCGCATGCGCATTTCCATTTGCATTTTCAGAGCTTTGATTTGCGTCACCGTCTTCGTCATCGTAATATAATTCACGACGCGTGTTTCCGATTTTCTATGGAAATCTGCAAAATCACGGACGGATGAGATCATTTCTCATAATTGAAAATCTCGCTTAAAGGTTCAAGTCGTTCTCACAGATTTTTAGGTTGATTGCCGCCGGTTTTTGCACGCGCCGTCGCGGCATAAAACCGAATGAAACGCAGCAGACGTTTGTTGTAATACGACAGAAACATTGTCATCTTTCATTCGTGATCGGCTGCGTGGGTTGCCGTAAAAACACAAAAGCATTTGTCTGCGAACGGATATCGTTGAAATCTAACGTGTTTGTTGCTGACTCGGGGAGTGTGCGTTGCACGCAGACCGAGACAAAAGATCATTGCACCTCATTAACCAAACAGCATGCACATAATGATTGTGTGCTTTTTAAAATATGCATCGTCATTGTTATCATCATCATCGTCGTCGTCGTCTTCGTCATCATCATCAGCATCATCATCATCATCACCATCATCACTGCCACCACCACCAGCAGCAGCAGCAGCAGCAGCAGCAACACCACCACCCCAACCACCACCAGCAGCAGCATCACCACCACCACCACCACCACCACCAACAACAACAACAACAACAACAACAACAACAACACCACCATCTCCACCACCACCACCAACAACAACAACAACAACAACAACACCACCACCACCACCACCATCTCCACCACCACCACCAACAACAACAACAACAACAACAACACCACCACCACCTCCACCACCACCACCAACAACAA